CAGATGGAGTTACTGTATATAAAGAGTTCCGGAAGAGGGAGTCATAAAAAAAAATTAAGGATAAGATTCCCATCATGCTTTGGAAAAATAATTACACATAGAGTTGGTATTTCACATTAGAGGTGTTTTTTTTTTTTTTTCGACGCACATGTAAATGCCCAGGCAGCATTCGCCTCTGGGCCTGTATTGATGAATTGATTAAAATGACTTTAGCACATGCAGAAATATGCAGTCATGGTCAGAAACACATAATGTTTTTTTCTTTGTAAGTGTAAAATGAGGTAAAAAAAAAAAAAAAGAAAAAAGAAGAAGAAGAGTCAGTGTCCTCATCATCACAACATCCAGTAATTAACAACAACAGAAATAAATAACCAGTTCCTCCGTCACCACTGTTTCAGGAGGTTTTTGTAATTTGAAATTGATGGACCGACGGAAGTTATTACCTCGGTCTCTTTCAATATTTCTTTTTGTTTTTATGGTCCCTGATAGCTTTGCTTGAATTGATCAAAATATAACTGATTCTTTTTGAATGAAGTAAATTAGTAAAACTCAAACTCTAAAGTACATTTTTTCACTCTGTCCCACTGTGAAACAGTACCAAATGATCTACTGGTCCCCAGACCGGAGGTTGGGAACCCCTGCTGTAACAGAGTAGTAACTAATGACTTATTGTCATGTTAAAGGCATAGGTCAAACTATTGTCACTGTCTGTCCTGGCTGTAGTTACCATAGAATTTATGTCAATATTAATATATTTTACCTAATTCCCTAGTTCTTTCTCCTTCTTTCTTACATCGCCTTTTATTTCCTCGTACCAGAAATCCTTAGTACCAGGAACTATTTTCCAAAGGATAAATAAAAAAAAAAAAAGTGAAATCAACAGTCAATGAAAGCTGCATTGTTAATGCTTTAGTTAGAATTCCCTGTAAGTTTCTTAACTATGAAATAAAATAATAAAAAAAAAGACAAAAACTAAAAACACAGTCAATGCAAATATGAACCAGGTGATGGCGCTGAAGGAAGGAATAATTCTCCTATTAATTAGCATCCACCTCATGTGCAGTATATCTTTATATCACCAAGTAACAAACATTGGATTAAGTATTACTATTCATGGAGTATCATGTGACTGAATGAGTGGCTGAATAAGAAGAATTAATTATGACTATAATACCTGTACTCTGATGCAACACATACCATGGTCAGAGTGTCACAGCAGGCCACTGGCATGAATACCAAATCAGCCGTCTCTCATTACGAGCAGGATTTACAGCCGGCTTTGAGGAGAGGTGAGACCCCCACCCTCTGCCTGCTCCACAGAACAACTAAATAAAAGAACAGGAAGTTTTATCATACACGCAGGGTCATGTCTCCGGTTCCAACCCAGCTCATTTTTCCTGGGAACTAACAAACTTGTCTCGGGAAACCTCGTGCCTATGGTCAACGTGGACGGAATATTTTGTTCGAAATTTGAAACAAGGATGAAGGAATATAATATAGTGTTAAAGTAGAAGCTGAAGAGGATTTCAAACTTTATGGTGCGTTGAAATCTTGGCACCAGAAGAAGCACGGACGGAAACACCGTGAGATTCACATGAAACTCCATAAAAAGTGCGGCCGCATTCAATTAGAAAATACGAAATGTTTAAGTTTGCATTGAACATAAGGGTTCATACGTATATTAAAACACGATTTACATTAACTAGGGATGTCCGATATTAACTTCGTCCGATATCCGATATGCCGATATTGTCCAAACACTATTCCCGATTCCGATATGAACCGATACCGACATACGCAGCAAGCAATGGTGGAAGTTAAGAGTTGCCTGCTCACTAAGATGACAGGTTAAAACAGTGGCTCTCAATTTTTTGCTCCCCCTAGGGGAAAGAATTGGTAATACTTTTTTATCTTTCTGTACAAAATTCCAGAATATGGTCAGTGAATGTGAATGGTTAAAAAAACAGGCAGTGCCGTGCAAAGATGAATGACCCCAAAACATGCAGCCAACGTCACGCGGAGCCGTACAATGGAGCCAAGCGTCAACAGAGCCAGGAGAAAAAAAATGACCCCAAAACATGCAGCCAACGTCACACAGAGCCGTACAATGGAGCCAAGTCCTTTTAATAATAAATCATTTCATCCACACCTGTGCGTATACAACAAAAGTTGCATCAATATGAAATGAGAAAATGTGGCACATGTGGACGGGAAAAAAAAAAAATCCTTACATATTCATGTAAAAACATGAGGCGGAATACGGCGGTACGCTGCATATGGAAGGTTGACAGCTGTGTGTGTGAGAGTCGCACGTGTGTCTGGAAGGTAAACAGACGGCAGCACAGACAAAGACAGAGTGACCTGCAAAGTTATTATCATCATTTTACTATGGCAGGCCTGACAATGGTCATGTTTCACTGTTGGGATTCATCAGCTTTAGGTTAATACTTAGAACAAAGTACAAGAACAGAGTCACGACTGCATGTAAACAATATGGCCGCAAGAGAGCGAAGTCAAAAAAATAATGTCTTTAAATGATTGTTTTTTACCTGGAGAGACTTGATTTCCAATTAGGCAATTCAACTCAGTGCAGTGTTTTTCAACCTAGGGGTCGTGACCCCACACGGGGTCGCCTGGACTTCAAATGGGGTCATCTATAAAATGCAGCATATACAAACATCTGAGCTGGAGCATCTTGATTGACAGCTGCGATCATGTGACTGCACAAGCGATGCCTGGAATTTGCGGGTCCCAGGGCAAAAAGTCATTAGTATCGTACGTATGTGAAATAAATATTTCACTTAAAAACATATTAAAAAAATAGGATTATTTCTCATTTTTCCCTGTGTCATAAACTTAAAAAATAGCATTTTTAAGAACTTTAAGAAACTTCTCCACTCCAACAAAGTTCAGTATTTTGTTCCAGCCTGAGCCGACTGCAAATGAGAAAGAGCCTGGTCGGTGACTGTCTCGCGAGGCAGGAAGCCAGTGTCAGACCTCGTTCCCAGGAGAGAATGAGAAAACCAAATAGGAGCCAAGGCTGTGTGATTGAGTTCAAGTAGACAAGGTGAAGACCCACTAGTCTCTCCACAGGCTAGTGTCCACGGCTTTAGTCTGATTCCGTCAACCAAGGGAAACCAGTCGAGGGTCCACGACCAAAGTGACACGTGTCTTTTGGGGCACATTAAGGAGCAGATGTGTTGCCCTGTTGACACCCCTGCTTTAGATAATTAATCAAATAAATATAAAATAAAACGGAAAATTGTTCATTCTGAACTGATCAATTATTCTGTGATTTCATGCCTATCGACTTCTTTTCTTCTTCTTTTTTTTACTTTATTTTTTTTAACTTGTTCCTTGAACCTCTCAGCTTGGTGCTTTTACTTGCTGAAAGTAATGTAATACAGCAGCTTCATTCCGGAGGCAGCGTGACAAATGAGCGCAGGTGACAGGGGCAGGGGAAGTGACTCAGAGTTAATTAGTCCATAAGTCTACAAATTAACACTTCATTAAATGGACACTGTTTCAATCAGAAATATGACCTTCCTTTATTAGCGTCCTGCAGACGTTCAAAAAAGTCTGGATTTTTTTGTTCTTTCTTCCGTGACGGAGCCCAGGAGAAGCACAATGACTGTTGGATCAGAGGCACAAAACAACAACTTCCTGGTCTTTGTCTTTGATCTTGACTAAAATTGTTGCATCGAGATGTTTGAGGTGAAGCAACAGTTTTAATAACTTTAAAATCGTAAAAATTTAAGTACATAAAATACAGGGGATCCTCAACTTCAGCCAAAACCTGGTTCCTTTGGTGCGTAGTAATTTGATTCCTGCAGTACCTGTGTCACTCCCCTACGCTAACACAGTGGTAGCATCATAATCTAGAGAGTTAAGCCTGAGAGCCATAACGAAGGGCAAAATAGCAACACAATAAAGAAAGCTAATGTAGCACAAACCGACATATTGCGAACAGCCACCAAATGAAAACAAAGACGTCGTCTGCATATAGGGCTGCATGAATTTTAACATCCTACATCGGAATGATGGAAGGAGGAATTTCTTTATACATTTATCAGAGATGGGCCGGATTGAAACCCCAAGCGGGCCGGTTTTGGCCCGTGGGCCGTATGTTTGAAACCTCTGGTATAGAGCCCAATCACTAACATGCAGGCTTTTGGGCTGTTTGAGAAAACTACACTCACACACACAAGGGGAGGATATGCAAACTTTAGACAAATCGGTAATGAGAAACCCAGAGGGCTTGTTGACGCTCACGGCTTGACTTGTTCCCTCGGTGCGTTTTGTAGACGAGCAACCCAGTAGACTGCACGCACACGTGCTTCGATCGCCGACTGCATGCAGCATCATTGCACCTGTTACAGCTTTGATTGATGTGGGGCCAGTGCTTCTGAGAGCTGATGTCCAATTAAGTGGACGGGTGTTTACGCCTACCGAGGGAGATTTGTTTCTGTCTCCCTTTCAAAATGTCACGGAAATGAGTACGGCACGAGTCGTCAAAAAGCGCCGAACCACGACCAGTAGACAGTTTATCAGGGTGTTTCAATACGGAAGACTCGCAAGAGATGGGTACGGAAGTCGATGAACACGTGAAGTGAACGAGTGAGGCGGCGCGGGCTACTCCGAGTGCTCGGCCACGTAGCGCCGGCGTCTGTAAGCGTGCTCGTATCTCGAAGCAAAAATTTGATCGAAGGCTTGCTCGTATCTCGGAATACTCGGGATGTCATGTCAAAAAAGTCCAAAAAAAAAAATCTAATCTAATCTAATCTAAAATGTTTTAATCTAATCTAATCTAATCGAATCTAAAATGTTTGGTCCACCGTTGCTACGGTTCATGTTTTTCTCGTCTTAGTTGTACATGAATGTTTGTGTCATTTGAAACCCGCCAGCTTCGGTTTGCGATAGCATATTGTGCTTT